TGCCAGAAAGATTTACAGCTTCAAAAACCCTATATAGCATCATTATGAGTTAAAATTGATTTAGTGGCAATGGGTTTGGTGTTCATTTGGTGATTAATTTACCATCATTGTTAATAATTGTAAAAATTGAACTTACAAAACAAAATGTTTATCTTCACAGGAAGCCTGCTGCTATTGTCACAGCTGCTATAACATCTGTGGGTTTTGTTTGTTTTTGGTTACACGTTTAGGAACTTTTCCGAAAAGTTCGAAGTATCTTAAATAAATTGACACCACAGATGTTCAACCAACTGATGAAGCAAGTGTCAGGACTGACTGTTGATACAGAGGAGCGGCTGAAAGGAGTCATTGACCTGGTCTTTGAGAAGGCTATTGACGAACCCAGTTTCTCTGTGGCTTACGCAAACATGTGTCGATGTCTAGTAACGGTAAGAAGAGAGGAAGGAGTAAAACCAGAAATCTCCAAGAGGTATATTCTCCCCTCACTACACATTCTTCCCAGAAGTGTTATTGGGGCAACATAAAGGGGAGAATATATTTTTAGCACTTAATAATATGATAATATCCTCATTGTATAGAAAGCCTCTTGCTTTATTAAAATGTGTACTCCCCTCTGGAGAGAGTATGGTGGTTTGATTGAAATAGTCAGTATGTATATTGCCAATATGTGGATGGGCTCATCAGAAGTGAAGGAGATTGAGTAAGGTTTAAATTTGTAACATGAAATTGTTATCCTAGGCAGTCAGTTTTCCTGCTGTGACATAAAGAAAATGCTTACTTTTATACTTAATTAAATTCAAAATTGAAAAATATTTTGGTTTTAATTCTAGCCTCTGTGCAAATGAAAGAATAGTTGTCTTTCAGTCATAAAGGACTGAAACGTGATCATTTTGTCTTAGAAACCATTAGATTACTTTCTCTTACATTGTCTACAGCTAGTTAATCTTCCTAGGCTGTCTTATCTAAGCAAGATAGAATGGGAGACCAAAGAACTTCTGCTTAGTGTTTGTTGTCCTCCTGTTCTACAGTCATGAACCTGCCATGTGCCATCTGTATTTTTCCTTCCTGTTACTGTTACCAAGGTACTTGTGTCTGTAACATGTGTTTTTCTTTATTTAATATTTGGGGGTTTTTTTCTTAAATGTCACTACTCATTTTGTTGTGCCTCACTTCTTAGAAGCAAGCTATGAAAATGCAAAATTCTGTCATTCTACCAATATTTTTTGAGTACCTATGTCTAAGGTAGGTAAGTCTTCTGGGGAGTGGAAAAGTAAATCTTCTGTTTTTAATGAAATCTGAATTCATATTGAAAAACACAGCATCTAAAAGGGGAAAAAAACCCAAAAACACTTTTAGGGTATTCTGTAATATTGCGTTATGTTGACACCTAAATGAATGTTGGTGTAATCTGAAAATCAAGTTGGAGGAAAAAGGCATGTTGGTAGGAGAGAGAGAACTTTTATGAAATAAGTCAAGTTTAAATTAGACCTAGGAGGATGGGGAATACTCTTACACAAGCATCAGAGAAGGTTCAAGACTGACACCAGTCAGCGTGATATATTATAATGGCTACAAAACATTGACTTTGGAGTCTGACAGTTCTAGCTTTAAAATTTAAACTAAAATTAAATTCAAATCCCTATTTTACCACATGCTAACTTTATCACCTTAAGTAGTTACATAACTTCTTTAAGCCTCAGTTTTTAATCAGTAAGATAAGAGTAATTTGCATAATTTAAATTTATTGTAAGGATAAAATAAATGAGATTATGCATTTATTTCTCCTAAGCTTGGTACTTAGCCAGTTGTTGTTGTTAAGTGCCGTTGAGTCTGTTCCAACCCATAGTGACCCTGTATAGGGGTTTCTGAGGAGCGGCTGATGAGCTTGAACTGCCAACCTTGCGGTTCAAACCAACTTTGCAATGCAGTGCATTAACCCACAGTGCCACACCAGGACTCCTATAGTAAGCCCTAAATTAAAAGGAGCTCTGGTAGTGTAGTGATTACGAATCAGGCTGCTAACCTCAAGGTTGGCAGTTCGAAACTACCAGTGGTTCCACGGGAGAAAGATGAGGCATTCTGTTCCTGTAAAGATTTACAGCCTCGAAATCCCTGTTCAGGGTCGCTAAGAGTCGGAACTGACTCAACGGCACTTAACAAGAACAAGTGATAGAAAAGCATCTAGGGTCAGATTGTGACAGACTTAAAATGCTGGTCGTAATATGAGGATGACTGTAATAACATAACCTTTCTATTTAGTACCTGATAGGGTTCAGAATAGGTAGATGCTTTATAGATGAGGGTAAGTCAAAAAGTGTTGCTACATGTCCAGTTCACACATGCATGGGTTTAGTCCAGATAAAACATGTTTAAAAATGTCTCTGTGGTCAGAGGTTGTCAATGTCCACAGACAAGTTCTCTCAGTAATGCACTTGTCTTAATCTCATTAAAATGCCTCAAAAAAATTAAAAAAAGATACTATTTGTGCTAGGGAAAAAAATAGATTTTGAGGTCATGTCTAATACCAAATTTTTAACTAAACTCCACTGGACATTTTCTTAAATCTTTGAAGTTTGGCAACAACTTTACAGGAATATTGCTCAACATTAAAACAACACATTTTAAGGAGGTTGGGAAAACCTCAAAGATGAGCCAAGAGAGGGAAAACTATCAACAACAATGAATAAAGAAACTGTGGCTGAAATCCAGAAACTAGTGGAAGAAGATAACAGAACTACCATTGGTAATTACCTACTGCAGTTGGGCTCTCACGTGGTTTGGCATTTTCATTTGAAGTGCACATCTTGCCTTCAACAAACTTTCAGCTCAATGAATGCCAGAAGCGTTATACAGAGATCAGCTGGCTCAAAGAGCTGAGTTTTTCATCGGTGTTTTAAGCAAGGTTGAAACTAATGAAAACAATTTGGTACAATGAATCATAATCAGAGATGAATCTTGGATTAACTAATATAATCCAGAGAACAAGATCCAATCAGAAAAGTGCCTTCCGAAGGTATCTCTTAGGCCAGTTAAACTCAAGGCAAAGAAGTTATCATCAGTTCAGAAGGTTATGGTGACTGATTTCTGGGACTCCAAAGGGATAATCTTGATAGATTTTCTCAAAGGGCACAGAATGATCACAGTGGATTATGATGAAGAAGTTTTTTTTGTTGTTGTTTTTTAAATCGGAAGACTGCATTGGTGAGAAAAAGGCCAGGAAACGCACTGGGGAATTTTTCCCATCAGCACATTCTCGAGGGTAGCAAGGGCTAGCCTATAAAAGGTTCATTGGGCAACCTTACCCTATCCATCCAACTATCCTGATCTTACCCCTTCAGACTTGGTTTTGCTCCTGAAATTCAAAACACAGTTAAAAAGAACATAATTTTTGTCAACTCAATGTAGCCAAAACTGTCCTTTGACATGTTGTAAACAAACTGAATTGTTCACATAAGGATTAGTGAGATAGAAGCATCATATTCAGAATTGTGTAGACCAAGTAAAGGATGTATTCAAAAACAATAGCTTCATATTGTAATATTTTCGCTTAATATTTCTTTGATTTTGAGCCAGTGGTACTGAAGGAAGACGTCCAAAGTACACTGAAATCATTGGGGAAAAACAAGGCTCCAGGAATTGCTTGAATGCGAATTGAAATCTTTCAACAAACTGATGCGGTACTGGAGGTGCTCACTCATCTATGCCATGAAATTTGGAAGACCTGACCAATTTATTGGAAGAGATCCATATTTGTGCCCATTCCAAAGAGAGGTGACTCAATGGAATGTAGAAATCATAGGACAGTATCATTAATATCACAGGCAAGTAAGATTTTGCTAAAGATAATTTAAAAACAGCTGCATCATTGACAGGGAATGGCCAGAGATTCAAGGACATGGAATGAAGGATGTCACTGCTGATGTCAGGTGGATCTTGGTTGAAAGTAGAGAATACCAGAAAGATGTTCACCTGTGTGTCATTGACTATACAAAGACTTTCGACTGTGTGGATAATGACAAGACAGTGCAAAGACTGGGTATTCCAGAACACTTAATTGTGCTCATGAGGAACCTGTACATAAGCCAAGAGGTAGTCATCCAAACAGAACATGGGAACACTGAATGGTTTCAAATCCAGAAAGGTGTGCACCAGGGTTGTATTCTTTAACCATACTTATTTAATCTGCTGGTAGTATACTGGTTATGAATTGGACTGTGAACCACAAGGTCAGCAGTTCGAAACTACCAGCTGTTCCTCAGGAGAAAGATGAGGCTTTCTGCTCCCATAAAGATTTATAGCCTCGGAAACCCTGTACAGGGTCGCTGTGAGTCAGAACCAACTCCACGGCACATAACCACCAGCATCATTCAATCTGTATGATAAGCAAATAATCCGAGACTAGATTATCTGAAGAAGAACGTGGCATCAGGATTGGAGAAAGGCTAATTAGCATATGCAGATTATGTGCAGATGATGCAACCTTGCTTTCTATAAGTGAAGAGGACTTAAAGTACTTACTAATGAAGATCAAAGACCACAGCCTTCATAATGGGTTGCATTTCAATGTTAAAAAAAGAAAACAAAAATCCTCACCACTGGACCAATAATCATGATAAATGGAGATAAGATTGAAGTTGTTGAAGACTTCATTTTGCTTAGATCTACTGTCAACACTCATGGAAACTAGCTGTCAAGAAATAAATGACAAATTGCGTTAGGCAGATCTGTTGTACAAGACTTCTGTAAGGTGTGTTCAAGAGCAAAAATGTCAGTTTGAGGACTGAGGTATGCCTGGCCCAAGCTATGGTATTTTCAGTAGCCCCATTTGTTGCTGTTGTTGTTGTTAAGTGCCGTGGAGTTGGTTCTGACTCATAGCGACCCTGTACAGGGTTTCCGAGGCTGTAAATCTTTACAGGAGCAGAAAGCCTCATCTTTCTCCGTCGAAACAGCTGGTAGTTTCGAACTGCTGACCTTAAGGTTCACAGCCCAATTCGTAACCACTATGCTACCAGAGCTCCTTAGTAGCCCCATACGTGTATGGAAATTAGACAATGAATAAGGAAGTCTGTAGAGAATTGAGGCATATAAGTTACGATATTGGAGAAAAATATTAAAAGTACTAAGGACTGCCAGAAGAACAAACAAATCTGTTGAAAGAAGTTCAGCCAGAATGTTCCTTAGAAGCTAGAATGGTGAGACTTCATGCCTCATACTTTGGACTTTTTGTCAGGAGGGATCAGTTCCTGGAGAAGGACATCATGCTTGGTAAAGTGGAGGGTCAATGAAAAAGAGGAAGACCCCAAATGAGCTGGATTGGCACAGCGGCAGCAGCAATGAGCTTCATGTAACAGCGATTGTGATGACTGATGATGGCACAGGATCGGGCAGTGTTTCAGTTGTAGATACTTACAGTTGTTATGAGTTGGAA